CCTGACTCCGCCGTCGTCCCGCCGCCATCCGACATCTCCCCATCCGGTCGTCGCCCCATCTTGCCGGTCTCCCACTGTCGAGGCGGAGTTTATTAATAATATTCTTGTTTACATTGAAAAACGAAGAGAATTTGTTAATAATGAATTCGTCATTTGTTGTAAATTATGTAAGAAATGTTAATAATGATATTGTATATTGTTAATATTGTCGAGCTGAAAAGTTGATAATAGCGTCACTAAAAAGGTTTACAACACAACAAGTGAATCAAGCTTCAATTTGATTGAGAATGTTAATAATAGCGTCACTAGAAAATGTTAATAATGTAGGTGAAAACGTTAATATGTACTGTTAAAACGTTGACAGCTCGGTTAAGCTGCTTTAATAATTCTGATGATCTAATTAATAATAATGATGTAGTAGGTTAATAATGTTTACAACACGATCGGTAAATTGCGTTTCAATTTGGTTGAGAAGGTTAATAATAGCATCACGGAAAAATATTGATAACGTATGTGAAAAAACTAATATGTATTGTTGACAACGTTGACAACTCCGTTACGTTGCTCTACCAATCTCAAATGAGAGGCTCCCCTTATTGTCACAGCATTTTAGTTACCGGTTAATAATTTCAGTAATATAATTATTAATAGAGTCGAGAGGTTAATACTGTGGACAATACGACCATTAAATCGCATTTTTTATTGATAATTCTAGTAGCGTCAGTAAAAAATGTTAATAACGTATACCAAATCATTAATATGTACGGTTGAAAATGTTGACAAATCCGTTACATTGCTTTGAAAACCTCAATCCACTAGATGCTCAATCCACAGGATCCTCCGTTATGTTGACAACTCCATCGCGTTTTTTTTATGGCAAGTGACGGACGTAGCGGGCCGACAATCAGTTTGTTCTTACAGATCTTGGATTGTGGTATATCGTGTAGCACTACAATTTTTTTTTGATAATTACGTTCAAAATATTACTAATGCTGAAAAAACGTTAATAATGAACAAAGATTGTTAATACTACTCGTTAATTCAACCGACAGAGTAATACTAGTAAAAACTTGAACATGACTTTGAAAATATTACTAATGGACGAAGAAAAGTTAATAATAAACTAAGATTGATAATATTACACGTAAATTCAGCAGAGAGATTAATAATAACACACGCTTAATAATAAGACGAGACATTATCAAATCATGCACGAATGATCACAATACTTCAAAATATTATAAATCACTATGAACTAAATTGATAATAAACTATATTAGTGAATTAATGCCGATTACAAACAAATTGATAAAACAATTATAAAACGACAATAAAAAAGTTAATATCACAACATAAAATAATTCACAGGCCTATTAGACAACATTGACAATTCGAAAAAACGTTGATTATTGGGTGGGTAAAAATATTGACCATAAAAATGATTAACAATGGACACAAAAAAAACTCGCGAACGTCCACGAAATGATTAATAATAGACACAAAAAAAATTAATTTATGGTTTTCAAAGTACCAGAGGAGTAAACTGTCTAGCTCGCTGCCCGGTTTGCTGGAGAAGACCGGAAAGTCTTGAACATCTGTTCTTCAAATGCCCCTTGGCCACAAGATTGTGGTCGCTCATGGGTCTAAATGATTTCATCTCCTCGGCCCCGACTGTGAATTTCAGTCTCTGGTGGCGACATGTTATGCTTTCTGAGCACCCCCAAACCCACATTCTCCTATACGTTTGTGTATTATGGAGGATCTGGAAGTCTAGAAATAAGGTGGTCTTTGAGCATGTCCAGCCTCATGCCCGGTCTCTCGCTCGTCAGTGTTTTTTTCCAAGTTCGCGATCTGTCTTCCTCCCTTCCTTTGGTCCCTGCTCCGCCCCAGCCTTCTCGTTCTCGCCTCTCGTCTTGGTCCCCTCCTCCTGTTGGCTTTGTGAAGATCCACTTTGATGCTGCTGTTCGTCCTTCTGGGTGCTCGTCTGGTCTTGTGGTGCGCAGTTCAGATGGGCATGTGGCTCTGGCTTTAGGGTCTCTCCATCCCGGTATTGCTGATCCCTATCTTGCGGAGCTCCTAGCAACTAGGGACGCCATCGCCCTTGTAGTCTCCAAAGTGCTGCCTTGGGTCATCATAGAAGGAGTTTCAGAGGTGGTGATTCGGCAGCTTCGTCAAGGTGCTCTCTCTGACTCCATTGGAGGTCCGGTGCTTCGGGATTGCTCCATTCTCCTTTCTTCCGTCTCTATTTCTTTAGAGTTTAGGGCAGTTCCTCGGACTGCTAACAGTGCTGCCCATAGAGTGGCGCAGAAAGCACTGTTACTCTCCCCTTTAGAGTTTTGCGCCTTTGATTTTGTGGGTTGGCTTCTCTGATGTATTGGGTTGGGCAGGGTCGGGGTAGATTGTATAGGTTTTCTCTTGACATTTCTTGGAGAAAAAAAAAGACACAAAAAAAATTAAAAATAAATACTACTGTGTATCGACTAATCCCATGCATCGACGCGACGAAAAACCTCACAAATACGAAATAAATATTGGAGACGGAAAAATTGATGTGCACAGATTGATTAACAATGGACACAAATAATTGATTTGCATGACAGATTGATTAATAATAGAGAGCAAAAAAGTTGAGAACGAGCACGTATTAATTAATAATAGAGACACAACACGATTTGTAAACGCCCACGGAATGATTAATAATAGATGCCAAAAGGTTGAGAACGAGCACAGGTTGATTAACAATGGACAAAAAAACTCTGCGAACGTCCACGAAATGATTAATAATAGACACCAAATAAATTAATAATGACCTACTCCTCCCATGCAACGCCAAAATCCTAATCTCATGTAGCGCCAAAACGCTAATCCCATGCAACGCCAAAACCCCACAAATACCGGGGGAAAATTGGAGACGAAAAAATACCTTTAAACGCCGCCGACGAGAGACTGTGAGTTGAAACGAGATCACGGACAGGGTTCGACGACGACGACGATGGGAGGCAAAATAGGCAATGGTGGACTGGCACGACGACGGGAACAAGACTTAGGCAGCGACGATGACCGGATGCTGTGCTTTGCCGGAAATCTCAGCGGGAGGGAGAACTCGGGACGGAGAACAGCGGGACCGACGACAACAACGGTTGCTGTACTTTGCGATGGTGGACTTGAATCGTCGGCCGGAGAAGGGACGACCGGACGACGGAGAACTCGGGACCACCGGATGGACTCGGGACGGAGAAGGGACGACCGTACGACGGATGGAGAACTTGGGACGACGGCCGGAGAACTCGGGACGACGAACGTTTCGTCTGCTTGCGGGAGGAACAATAAACAGACGAAAAGCAAGAGAGACGTGGGTTAGGGTATTTGAAAAGAAAGAGACGCATGTTTTAATTTAATTGTATTCTCCTTAATACCCCTAACAACTATTTAACTAATAACTCCCTACTAACTACCGAATCTTGAGTTAGCCAATCACAAGGCTTTAAGTTCCTCCTTAAAAAAGATGCCTTAAGGACCTGAACTTAGGCCCGCCCTATCACCATTACTATTAGTATTATCGAGTCAAGTTTGGACCTTGGAAGAAAGGGAGAAATAACAGGGATTAGGTAAAGTAGTTACATGAGGGTCTTTCTGGAAATACACTCAACGACATATTACTTTCAGCGCCAAAATCAAATGCATTGGCGCCGATTTGCTACCATTTCCAGATAATCTGGAATCAATTATGAAATTGTCCAAACCCTAATTCAGTGTGAACCAGTAAAACTACTCTGCCTCTCTCGCTCTTCGTTCCATTTCAGTTTCTGCAGGGACTGAAAATCCGTACATCGCCCGCCCTCTCTCTCGCCCTCGCTGCCTCTCGCAATTTTGCGCCATTTAGAGTTCCGATTTCGGTTTGGCCGTTTGGGCCCTTTCGGGTCTTGGTCCAAGTAGCTCACACTCAACAACGTAATGAAAAGGTTTCGCCCAAGTTACAGTTCTATGAGCTTTCCCTCGAACCGAATTGATTTCCTGCGTTGTTCTGCGATTTCTATATTTGTGCTTGGTTATTAGCCGACTGAAATCTATCTGTATCTGCAGGATGAAGAGGGTGTGCCAGTACAGTGCTGATAGAATCACCAGCCTTCCTATCGATGTAGTACATCGCATTCTCGTGTTCTTACCCATCAAAGATGCCGCCAAAACTAGCGTCTTGTCAAGCAAATGGAGGCATCAGTGGAGAAGTATTCCTCAACTTGTTTTTGATAGTCGTTTTGCTCAAATAAATAGAGAGGTTGAATCTGAATCAAAGGTGAGGAGTAAGCTTACAATGCTGAACATCTACAAGGCTCTCCTTCTTCATGATGGGCCAATAACCAAGTTTAAGCTTTCTATCCCTGGATTAGTGTCCTGGGATGATGAGATGGACCTCATCGTTCTTTACCTTTCTAATAAAGGTGTCCAGGACTTTAACATCTGGTTCGAGGGTCTTGACCCTAAGTATGCTTATCAGATGCATTCTTCTCTTTTTTCTGCACTTCACCTGAAATTCCTGGAACTTCAGTGCTGTGAATTTACACCACCATCTTGGTTTGACGGGTTCAGTAAGCTTACCGATCTTCGAATAGGAGAATCTGGTTTGCCTCATGATTTCTTCCACAATTTCCTTGCCAAGTGCCCAATGCTTGAATACTTGAGGGTTATAGATTGTGACGGTCCTCCTGATAAGCTTGAAATCGTGTCTCCATCTCTCAAATCCTTCCACTTTGCGGGGTCCCTCAAGGATATCAACTTCAAGGACACTCCCCTTTTGTCATTTGTCGCACTTTTTTTGTACGAGACCGACACTCATGACATGGCAGCTCTTTTTGCTTCTATTCCAACAATCCAAAAGTTCTGTGCTAACGGTGGATTCCTGAAAGTAAGTTACTTTCTTCACAACCGATTTTGATTCTTGTGAAAACGCCTTCTGGGTGGCTTTACTCATTCATGCTGTGCATTGTGCTTGGTTTTCTTAGCACCTTACTGCAGGTCATAGAAATGTCCCCTCCAGGCTTCCTTCTCCTCTTCACCAGTTACAATTCCTCGAAACTATCGAGCTTGACTTTGATAGTCTGGAGTGGGAGCATGGTTTTGTTTGTTTGATCATGGGTTCTCCAAACCTGCGTAGGCTCAAAATTGAGGTTCGTTGGGTTTGCCAACTGAGCTTTCTGTTTGCAGGATCTATGAGGTGTATAAAATTTTTGTGTCTAACTTTGGTTCCTTCACAAATGTTCTTGTAGCTGTATCATAGCATGCTAGAGGATCAGCCCACAAAGAATGAAGTTAGCAACATTCGGAGGTTATTGGAAGCAGAGGGCTGCTCTGGATCTTCTAATTGCCTTCAACATCTTAAAGAGTTCATAATTTGGGATAGCTATGGTACACAGGTTGAGCTGGACATTGTGAGGTTCGTCCTAGCCACTGCCCCTCTACTTCGACTGGTTCACATTAAAGCTGCGCATAATTTGAGCTCTAAAACGGTTATGAAATTTTCGATGGAGGCGTTGAGATATAAGCGTGTTTCTAAAGAAGCGGAGTTTATATATCCATGGGTTGATAAGGATGTATGACTGGGAATTTGTGGCTTTTGCCCGTTGATATAAGAACCCCAGAACTTCTTTCTTTCACAATTGTAATGTTGGTTGATGAATGCGAGGATGTATCTAGCTAGAAATTATGAGGTTCATCCTTGCTTCTCCCCCTCTACTTCAGCTGGTCAAGCTCACTCTTTCATATCGATTGCGTTCTGAAAATTCCAGTCTACTTGGTATCAAAACTCTCTATTTCCAGCCGCCAATTTTGGTTTACTAGAAAGTAGCGCCACTGATTTTGAATTGATTACACAAAAGTCCAGTCTACTTGGTACTACCTTGATCAAAATGACAACAGTTGTTCAATGGTGATTGAATTTGATCAGCTTTCCCCTCCCCTTATATAAAACACAGATCATATATCCTTCATCCTCAACATATCCCATTGACTACCAAAATGATGGATCCCAAAGCTCTCCCCGACCTGATTCTCTTCTCCTTCCTAACCATCTTCCTCTTCACCTTCCTACTGATCATCCGCCGGTGGATCCAAAAGCGACGATCAAAATCCAGCCCACCACCACCAGGCCCATGGAGACTCCCCATAATAGGCCACATTCACCATTTGGCCGGCAGCACCTTACCCCACCGCCGCCTCCGAGCCCTGGCCCAAACCCACGGCCCAGTGATGCTCCTCCAGCTCGGCGAAATCAGCCACGTCGTCATCTCCTCCGCTGAAGCCGCCAAGCAGGTGTTCAAGACCCACGACGTCGTCTTCGCGCAGCGCCCCTTCAACCTCGCCGCCAAAATCATCACCTACGACCGTGCCGACATCGCCCACGCCGCCTACGGCGATTTCTGGCGGCAGCTGCGGAAGCTCTGCACCCTCGAGCTGCTCAGCCCCAAGCGGGTCCAGTCTTTCCGGCCGATTCGCGAAGAGGAAGGGTCGAAATTCGTCCGCCGGATCGCAGCCGCCGGCGGCGTCGGCGTCGGCGTCCCGGTCAACCTCTCGAGGCTGATTTTCTCGCTGACGTACGGCGTGACGTCGCGGATCGCGTTCGGGACGGTGAGGGAGGAGCAGCAGGACGATGAGTATATTCCGGTTGTGGAGGAGATTATGGCGGCGGCGGCGGGATTCGGGGTGGCGGATCTGTTCCCTTCAGTGAAATTGCTGGAGAGAGTGAGCGGGATGAAGGCCAAGCTCGAGAGGCTGCACGGGGTTCAGGATAAGCTGCTGGAGAAGATCATCGCCGAACATCGGGCGAGGAGATCGACGGCAGGGGAAAACAGGGGAGCGGAACAGAGTGTGGAGAATGCAGAGGATTTAGTGGATGCTCTGTTGAATCTTCAGAGAGATGGAGATCATCTTGGATTCAGCTTGACAAACGACAACATCAAAGCAGTCATCGGGGTAAAACATAAATCCCCAGTGCTTGTATAGATATGTCATGATTCATTTACAAATTCTATTCTGGTTGTGGTTTTCAGGACGTGTTCATTGCTGGGAGTGAAACTTCGTCGACGACGGTAGAATGGGCGATCTCCGAGCTGATAAGGAATCCAGCCGTGATGAAGAAGGCACAAGAAGAGGTGAGACGGGTATTTGGCGAAAAGGGCAGAGTTGACGAGGCAGGGCTCAATGAGCTGAAGTATTTGAAATTGGTCATCAAAGAAACTTTGAGGTTGCACACTCCAGCTCCTCTGTTGGTTCCAAGAGAGAGCAGGGAGGAGTGTGAGGTTGGTGGGTATCAAATACCGGTCAAAGCAACCGTGTTGGTCAATGCGTGGGCGATTGCAAGGGATCCCAGTTCGTGGGACGAACCTGAAGAATTTCGTCCTGAAAGGTTTCTTGATGGTATGGTGGATTACAAAGGAAATAATTTCGAATATCTGCCATTTGGAGCGGGAAGAAGGATGTGTCCTGGGATAGTGTTTGGTATAGCGAATACCGAACTACCACTTGCCAACATGCTTTTCTATTTTGACTGGAGGCTTCCAAGTGGTTTGAAGGTGGAGAACCTAGATATGGATGAATCCTTTGGGGTTACGGTCCGGCGAAAAAATGACCTGGAAGTAATTCCTATAATTTGTCATTATCCATCGACAATTTCTTGATTGCTGGAATAAAGACGAGGCAAGAAGGAGGGGCCAAATAATGAAGAATCGTATACATAGATTTCGAGATGATGAATCTTTTTCTTCCATCGATTATTGTTTGTCATTTGGTCTTTACTTTTCTATCATGCTATTTTACATTTTTACTATGAAGAAATAAAAATCCGTTAACTCATTGAACTCGACAATGTATAAGTACTTTTACTTTTCTGTCTTGCGCTCTCCTCGTTTAGTGTGTGATCGTGACAAATCATGACCCACTATCAATTAATTCACACCAAAATAACACTAAACCTCCATTTTTGTATTTGGACGAACAAACAACCATCATGATCAGTCTGACCATGGCGAGCAAACACTCTTATCTTCCTATTATAGTTTCAGTACAAGTACAACAAATCTATTGATTTTTCATCCAACTAAAAACCAACAAACTGGTTAAGTGATCCCTTTTGCATTATATCCTAATGAAATAACCAAACAAAAATAGAAAAAGATGAGAAAACTGTCTCCACTAGCCATGTTTATATACTCCAGTGTCGATGATATTGAAATGCAAAACAAAATTTATTTATTGGGTGATAAGAGAAATTATGGCAAGCGATGGAATGTGAGAACCTTCCGGACCACATAAGAGGGAGAGAAGCGGTAGCACAAAGATGAAGAGGAAGACAAAGCTATTTGTTGTATATTTTATTTTGAGTTGATACTGGAGTGAGAGTAAGGATTAATTTCAATCACTAATTTTGTTTCACTAGGATATTGGTAAATGATCATTTCTATTTTTTAAGGATACTGGGGATGATTGGAGGGATGGAGAAGAGTGAAGTTCTGTTGAACATGGTATGCCAGTTCCAGATCATGCCGAATCGAACTATGTCGTACATGTGTGGTTGCTGGAATGTATAGTATATAACTTGGTCCATGGTCTGTGTCCTAGTCTCTACGTTTGAACCGCATACCGTATATATAGTTCAGTTCTCTTTGGTCCGGACTGTCCTGTATCCCACCCTTAATCAAGATCCCTTCAGATCCATCATAATAAATTAAAATATAAAAATTGCTACGCTCTGATATTCGAGCGCAAAATTACAATCATTTGAAATTTCAACGCGTGTTAGTTGTAGATCGTTGGTTTGTCCATCTATCTTAGCGATCATAATGGATTGCTTCAGTTAGCCGCGATCTTGCTTGTTCGGGGTTGGTTCGCTCTAGTTGGCCGCGATTCACACTGGTTTGCTTCATTCTCCACTGGACCATTAAATAGATCGCTTGACACAACAGCAAACCACATAAACAATTCTAGTATTTGACAAAAGAAAAATGGTTCAAATATGATATTGTGGAAATTTTGTATAATTTTTGTTTTTTTTTAAAGAGAATGATATTCATATCATCAAATACCATACAAAAAAAAGCTAATCGAGACTTTTGAGAGAGAAAAAGGAGAGACATTTGAGAGAGAAAAAGCTCTCCCTCTCTCCTGCTTGCACTCCAATTCTTTTTTTTAGATAAGGGTGATATAGGTTAATTTATTATTATTAGGTACTACTTAAGGGACTTGAACCTGAGACCTCCAGGTTCATGGCTAGTGGTATTACCACTAGACCAATCCCTTGTTCGTTTGCACTCCAATTCTTACCGTTGATGACCGTTGGGAGTATACCCCCACCGGCGGGGGGCGACCACTGCCTCAAGCCGCCTGATGGGTCTTCGTCGTCTTCGCCGATTCAGCCCAGCAAGAAGGCAAAAGCAAGTTCAACCGCTGGATTCTCTGGGCAAACATATATGGAAACAATTGCAGTCGTCACTGCGAGAGCTACGGAAGAGGGTTCACTCCAAAATGAGAACCCACAAGACGAAGAATCTCCGATTGGGGTGGGAAATCAAGGTGCGGATAAGGGGAGGTCCTCTTACAGGGACTCCTTCTTAGGAAATAAGCCACTAGTCAACATCCCAGAGGGGGATGAACTCATGTCAGATGAATCAGACGAAGAGAACGGGGAGGACGACCCGGACTGTCCGACTATCACAATCAAGAAGCGCACCAACGCGAAAATCAGGAATCGCTGGCAGAGGGCAATCACTTTCAGGGTTCTGGGTAAGATCCTCCCTTTTGCTCTTGTTCGTGGGAGGGTTCAGAAAATGTGGGCAAAGACAGGAGGATTAAAAGTTGGGGATATCGGTAAAAGTTGGGTACTTTCAAGCAACGTTTGACTCACAGCTCAACCACGACAGAGCTCTCTATGGCGGGCCTTGGACTATCGACGACCATTACATCGCCTCGGAGCCATGGCGGTTGGATTTTGATCCGGATTTCGACACGATCAACAGAACGGCAGTGTGGGTAAGACTTCCCCGCCTCCCCCTGGCTTATTTCGATGAGGATATCTTACTGGATATTGGGAATAAACTGGGAGGGTAGAGAAGATAGATTACAACACCGCCAACGGGTTCAGAGGGAACTATGCTCGAATCTGTGTGGAAATAGACCTGAGGAAGAGATTGGTTTCTAAGTACAGGATCAAGAGGAGAGTTAGAAGGGTTGAATACGAGGGATTGCACATTGTGTGCTTCTCATGTGGTTGATATGGCCATTTCGAGGAAAGCTGTCCCAAGACTCAAACAGTTGGGGAAAAGATGGTGGAAAATGCAGGAGATCAGACCTGAAATCATGAAAGACTTTGGGCCATGGATGTTGGCAACTAGACCAAGGAGGAGAGGCAACTATCAGAAGGCTCGCAAGGGTCCTGAGAAAGAAAGGGAGGGAAAGATGGAGGCTGAAGCAACACCTACTGGCTCGAGATTCAACCCTCTTGGAGAGGAGGTAGAGGAAGTGAACAACGACATGGAAGAAGATCCACCACAAGAAGCTAGTCAACAAGATAACCACATTACTCCTGGAAAGAAAACTGACAACCAGAAAGGGAATCAGGAAGAGCAACAAACCAGAGAATCCATGACTGAAAGTAAAAAACAAGAGAAGATGGGCAAGGAGAAGATCGAAGGGAAAGCAAATAAACAACAGGACCAGAAAATGAAGTCTCTCAACAGAAAGGAAAACCAGAAAGCAACCCCTGAGCTGAATAAGAGCACCACTTCTACTGGCAACGTGGCTAAAATGAATGATGCCTCCCCGAGTAGGAGTGTGAAGCCTCCCACTGGTCCCCTTTCACCAATGACTTCTGCGAAGCAAGTCAGACAGAAGGGACACCAGACAGCTGTGGCCACTGAGTCAAGCAGGGAAGACAACATCAAAAGTCAGTCAGCTGAAGCAAAGGCTGGCCATCAACCAAAGATGAAACAAGTGAGTCAAAACAAGGAGAATAAGGACAATACGAAGACTGCCAAAACACATAAGGGGAATGGTATTGGGAAACCAAAAAAGATTGATTTTGATGACAGCTTGGAA